GGGGTAAAAAGATTATAGTAGTTATTTATTTAATCGTATAACTATTATGTTGTGAAAACTTATTTCAAACATTTGATATATCTGACAACTTTATCATGCAAAATTCTAGTGGTAGATTTATGCTTACCATCCCCTCCATCTTAGAGGTGAACTGACCACCACATTGTTGCTTCAATTTGGTCAATATACTTCTCTCGTGATCATCATTGGCACTCTTGTCAAAGAGAAGCCTTCGGGCAAGTTTTTTTCTGTCACAAGTCATAACATAAGTATTTTCAAGATCAACTAAAACGTTGCGTGAGCATTAAGTGTCTCAAAGTACCGATAATCACCTATAAAATTCAGCAAACAAATCTTTGTCGCTGATATAAGCAAGCAACTTCACCACCTGTATTTTTAAATCACATGAATTCTAAAGTTCCAACACTAAATAAAACTTCAAATGAAACAATAAATTGAAAAATACCTTCTCAAGTGTCTCCTCTATTGCTTCATCACTCAACTTTTCACTTCCTCCTTTCTTAAGGATGTTATCACAAAAGGTGGCAAGTAATTCTGCACTAGAACTTCCAGCAACACCCTTATTACAAAAGACTTCAAAAGCTTCCTTGAGAGCCTACTCAAAAACACACTTCAAATGTGAACAGAAGTATAGTGTGGTATTAAGAATTACAGTGAATTTTACTGAAGGTGAAGAAGTCACATGCCTTGTGAAAAAGAGTGTGGTTTTGGAAACAACCATTCACATAAGCCAAGTACTTGTCGTGAAGCTCAATCACTTTTCTGACAAAAACCTGAAATCAAACCTCTCAGCTATAATTCAAAAAGAAGACTTAAAAAGAAAATAATCTAGAAGTTTGAAAGCCAAAGGGCACACCTGTTCCTGCAAACCAACTATGTCCTTTTTCTCGGCCTAACAAGAACAGAAAGGTCAACGTAATCAGTAAAAAGCCTCATCTTAAAACATTGTGACTGGTAAAGCGAAGGGGGCATTCTAAAATAAATAAATAAAATTCTAAGATTTATTTCCACACAAGATTGAGCATTTCAATAATTATCTGGAAAAAGAAAAGGGTAAATCACACCAATCATAACTTCCTTTAACTTTTATACCTATTAGTTAAAAAAATGTACAAACAAATGCATCTTTCAAAAGCTTCGACGAGGGAAAAATATTTGGGGCCCTAAAACCAAGTTACAAGCCCTAGCTTTAAAATAAAGAGGCTAAATATTATTCTTGTATGGTCCCTGAGTGAGAAATGACAACTGAGTGGTTGTGCACTATTCGATATGATAACTAAAGAAATCTAGGAATCATCTGACAACAAAACTTTAAAAAGAAGATTAATTGAGATGGAAGAAACCTTCTTGTTACTTGCAGCATCTTCTGCCTGTTTGACCAATGCTATTCCTTCAGCAGTGACGTGCTGCATAACAGAAAAGCAGTTTGAAAATTGAACATGACATTATTCAAACATGTAATACCCTTTCGTGCACATATATATATATATATAGAGAGAGAGAGAGAGAGAGAGAGAGAGTAGTATAATGTGGCCCACCAACCTGCTTGAATATGTTGGAAACTGGATCCAATCCCTTGGGTATTTTGGAGAAGAGACGAAACATCCTCGACAAATCTTCCACCTTAAAGTACCCACCACCCCAAGCCCAAAAGAATCGAGATCAGGGAAAAAGAGGACAAAAGAAAACAAAACATCGAAGAAGAACCACAATTAAATATATTGTTTCAAATGAGGGAAAAAATGTATAATAGTACCTTGTCGTCTCTAAGCAACGCATGGCATCCTGAATGCTCTTTGTCCAACAGTTGGGTAGCATACACAGACAGCAGTTCATGTTGAACTTTCTACATGAATGAAAACGAGAATAATCGAAGAAGGATAGAGAGAAAGAGATCTGCAGAACTAAATGTAGAAATTGGAAGGATATTGTAAAAGTTGACCACAAACCTCCAATAACTTTGGCTCGCTACTAGAGTGCAAATAGTGAGAAACTCTATCCTTTTCTCGCTTCAAGCATTCCTCCGCCTAGAAAATCAATCAAATCAATAAAAAAAAAAAACCATTTCTATGCATAAGGAAAATGTATTTCAGCTGATTTAAGAAAACAACAAAATAAAGGAAATACTTTTAGCATATAATCGGGACAAGAATCTTCTAGGATCCAATTGGAAGCCTTCCTAGAGTAATAAGCAGCAGTATCTTTAAGCATGGCAGCTTCAAAGTCATTTTCATAGTAATCCATTTGCCCCATCCCGATCTCCACAAATATATCCAATACATTCTTCAGTAGACCTCTATCAATCTGCTCCCCTTCACGTTCTTGATCAATCTGATTTACAAGACCATAGTTATTAAGCACGTCTAAATCCCAAAGATCATGCTTGAAAGAAAAGGCAAGGGAGAAAGGGGAATAACATACCAATGAAATTACTGCATCCCTCACTTTACTGTTTATCTCTTTATATACCTGAAATGAGTAGAGATCACTACTTGAACAAAAATTTGAGTATTAAAATCAAATGAGTCAAACTGCATATAGAGTATATGAATCTATTAGTAAAACAAAGTGGAACAGGAGGTTCAAGCTTGATCTTTAGAATGAAGCCACACATCCAAAGTTTACAACATACCAATTCACGGAAGCATGTGAGTCCAACTTCATTGAGGGGTGGAAGTGACCTTCGAGCAATGAAGTATCGATCAAGATAGTGGAAGAAACGAGAAAGCCACCTCACCATAACTTTATGGTTTGTCCACCTTTTGACAAGTTCTCTCAACATGAATTCATCATGCTTCTCCCTCAGGGATGGTAAGACCTATGTACACCACAATTACCAAAAAGAGCGCATTATGGTTAAAATTATTAGAGAACTCAAATGTTTCCATCAGCTAATTCCCTAAATGACAAATTCTAGCAACATAAATAATACACTAAAGGGAGAAAAAACAATCTCTAGAAATGCATAGATGTGTCCACACTACGGTTTTCCAAAAGAAGGCATGCATGTAAGCATTTCAAAATTGCACAATGTGACAGAGTTCCGAAGGATATAACTTTAATTCTGGAGTCATCTTAGAACAAAATTGAGGTAAAATAGCCGCATGGTCATAATCTCCAATACCACAAAGTGTGAGATTGAATTTTTCAAAATGGATTACAACTATCATGATGTTTTGCAAGGTCAGACTGAGGTTTTAAACACAGTGAGATATTTCAATATAAACCACCAAAATTTCCAACTGGATCAGCTTTTAGTGAGTTCCCTTGGCTTTGTAGTGGACTTTGCTCGTTTTCAGTACTCTCCACTTATTTTCAGTTAGATAACGCAATAAGCTCAGGTTGTTGATAAGTTAATCAGTGATATGCCCAAGATCGTAATGAACGTATCGGATGAACTTGTTTCTCACCATAGAAGTGATGTATTCTTCGAAAGATTCCCGGTATTTATCATACAGCTGCTGGGAGTAATCATGTGGCGGCTTTTGGGTGCACATGTTATATATAGTACTGCAAACGAAATTCAGAAGACAACACGTCGATCATCATAAGAGGACCAATCAACAATATGCACAAAATTGAACAATAAACTACAAGAAACAGAAGAAATAGTACGTGTAAAGCATCATGTAATCCTCAGAGTTGAACTGAGGCTCTGGCAAACCCTCTAGAATGTTCTTCAATTTTGTGATTCCCTTCTGCATAAACTCCCATCCCTGCTCCAAGTCAATAGTCTTCCGCTCACTCATTGCCATGTCGTGACAAATCTCTCTATCGAAGACCTAATAATTAACCAAAGGAAAAAAAACCTGCAGATCATAAAACAAGACTTCAATGCCGCCATCATACTGAAAGCAAACCCTAAATTGATAATCGAACTATTCCTCGCCCTCCATCCATGATCGAAATGAAAATCAAAAGTAATGAAACGTCAACATTAACACGAGCTTAAAAATAGAAACTCCAATCATCACAGTGAAGATGAGATTAAGCAACCTCCAACCAAATCCACGGTATCATTGTCATTCGTTCTCAATCAAACACACCGTCGACGAAAATCAAAACGAATACAGAAACCGAATAGGAACACCGAGGAACAAAAGCTCAAGGAAAAATTAACAGAGAGAAAACAAAAAAAATCCAAATGATCTCAACGTAGATCCGAGATCACACAGAAAACACCATAATAAGCCATCGTCAGAGCAAGAAAAAGGCACCTGAAACGGTCGTCAATGAAACCCTAATCAAGAATCATAACCCCTAGAGACGATAAAATGGAGGAAGAGAGAAGACGATAGAGCTTCGCCGGAGAAGTATCGACGGCGAAGATAGGCGAGAAACGCGAGACGGAAGAAAAAGACTCGAGGCGAAGCCCCGTTGGACGGGCAGTGAATAATGAATGACCCGCTTCCGTGTTGATTATATTTTACCAATTTTGATTTTGGTCGTCGGTCGTCGCCGTTGTCGATTTATAAATTTGCTTTCTTGCAATAAAGGGCTTCAACTCCGTGTTTTTAAGGTTTTGGCCCTTAATAATAATAATAGCCTTCAGAATTTGTGGCTGGTGCCGCTGTGTGGGCTGTATACGTTAATGCCTAACATCTGGCATTTAATTGCAGAAATGCTCTCTGCATACTGTCCAGGTTGCTTTCCATCGTGCTAAAGTGTAATTATGAACAAGTTTTGGGACTAAAGTGCAATACTGCAAAATTATGTTCTGATATTTTGGAAAATAATACTTTCGTTATTCGCGGTTTCATTACTATTTTATTTTAATTTTACATACTTTAAATAAATATATTTATTACTCAAAATTTGTGTATAATATAAATACTCTTTAATAATCAATTTTAAACAGTATTTAAAAATATCCAACCAAATCAAATAATTTTAAAAATTATGTTTATTATATTAAAAAATATTAAACCCAGAAAGGAAACTTTTATTAAATGGCAGGTCATAAATATTTAATAAATATTTAACTTAGTGAGTAAGATAAGTCTAAATTGCCTAATAAACAACAGTTTAGTAGCTAAGATACCATAATAAATATCGACATAATAGCTTTTTAATAAAAACTCGTTTTATATTTAAATATTTGTAGATTTCTTTCCTTGTATCCCTCTTTGAACACGAGATTTATTTTCGAGGATATGAAAGCACGGTTTTAAAAATGCTTTTTCTTTGGTAAATACGGTTATGTTGACTGCTTGTACCTAATTTCAACGTGTGACACCCAAGAAAATAATAATGTATTGACTGACCGTATAAATCGGAATGTATATATAATTTATGACTTAATTTCAACTATATAAAATATTAAAATTATTGTCACCATTTATTTTAATCTAAACTATATTATTTAAGAAAATTGATTTTTTTTAAAGCTTAATGATTGAAAAATAATTATATTTTTATTTTTATTTATTTCGTTTACAATTATTGGAAAATATATATATTTTTTATTTTTTTAATACCAAATGATTGAAAATAATTCGTGAAATTATTTCAAATTCTAGTAGTGTATTTTTATTTTTGTTTTCTTATAAGAAAGCCATCATATTTTTTCTTTATAAACTTATTCTAATAATTATTATAGATCATTTTTGTTTATATATCGATAGTAATTATTATTATTAATTTTTTTTTATAAAGATACGTGACTTTTAAAATTTGATGGTATTTTTAAATATAATACTTATGGTAATAATATTTTTTTAAAAATTGAAAGGCATTAGTAAAAGTTTTTAAATTTTAATTATATTTTTTAACAAAGTATTAATAATGATAATGATGATAAATGTTTTTTTTTTTTTAGATTTTTTAAATTAGCCTGTATTACTTAACAATTAAGTACTAAACAATCAACTATTGTGTAAATGACTGAATCACAGGTGGGTCCCAGCCGTCCACGTATACATGCAGCGAAAATTAGTCTAAGTTTAAAATGCTCATTAATATATATTTTGTCTTTTTCTTTCTCTTTAATGGTTGTTTTAAAAAAAAAATAAACTTTGAATTTCTAATATTTGATTACTAAAAATGTATAATATTTAATTAATTTTATAATTTAATTTATGTTGTTTAATCATTTTAATATAACCATTTATACATTAAAAAAAACTTTCCATTTAGCCATTTATATATATATATAGATCATTTTTATTAAAAAAAATAATAATAAATTATAATAAATCTAATAATATTTCGTGTGCAAAAATATAATATAATATTCTCTCGATATAATTTATAAAAATTCAAATTTCAATATTACTACGTAGTTTTCACTCTAGAATATGTATACGAAAATAACTATTTTCTGTACAAAATACAAATTTTTAATTTTTTATTTGAAGAAATGAAGTTTGTTATATATGTTTGAAAAACAAAGCCCAATAAAAGCAGACAAAGACTTGGGAATCTGCGGATCTCATCAAAACTTATCTACAACCACAGAAGCTCAAGAAGAAAAAATCTGGAAACATTGTAATTAAAGAGCAGGCCTTTCCATGAACCAACCAACATAAAAACCATAATTCATCCATGGTGGTTACTTAATAAATTCATTAAAATCACATTAATTCCTTTTTATGAGTATGGTATTATTAGTAAATAGATCAATTACATGTTCGATGACAAATCCACATTAAATTTTATAAATATATTAAAAAAAAAAATTGTAAGATCCAATATCGATGGGAGAAAGGAACAAAACATTCCTTAGGTTTGAAAACGTTTCTCTAATAGCGGTGAGGCTCACGACGACATATATCAGGTCAAAGTGGACAATATCTATTTTGGGCTTGGACGGTTACAAATGACATCATAGCCACACACGGGACGATGGGCTCCCAAAGATGGTGGATTGTGAGATCCCATATCGGTTGGAGGGAGGAACGAAACATTCTTTATCCATATAAGGGTGTAGAAACATCTCCCTAATAGATGCGTTTTAAAACTGTGAGACTCACGACTACATGTAACGGTTCAAAGTGGACAATATCTATTTTGGGCTTAAACGGTTACAAATGACATCATAGTCACATACCCGACGATGAGCTCCTAAATAGAGTAGATTGTGAGATCTCATATCGGTTGGAGAGATGAACGAAAGATTCTTTATCCTTACAAGGTTGTGGAAACACGTCCCTAATAGATGCGTTTTAAAACTGTGAGGCTCACGACGACGTGTAACAGGTCAGAGTGGTCAATATCTATTTTGGGCTTGGACGGTTACAAATGACATCATAGTCACACACTGGACGATGAGCTCCCAAAGAGGGTGGATTGTGAGATCCCATATCGGTTGGAGAGAGGAACGAAACATTCCTTATCCATATAAGGGTGTAGAAACATCTCCTTAATAGATGCGTTTTATAACTGTGAGGCTCACGACGACATGTAACGGGTCAAAGTGGACAATATCTATATTGGGTTTGGACTGTTACAAATGACATCATAGCCACACACGGGACAATGAGCTCCCAAAGAGGGTGGATTGTGAGATCTCATCTCGATTGTAGATAGGAACGAAACATTCCTTATCCTTATAAGAGTGTGGAAACCTCTCCCTAGTAGACACAATTTAAAAACGTGAGATTGACAACGATAAGCGGGCCAAAGCAGCAGTGGACTTAGGTTGTTACATTTTTTTCCCTATTAGAAGTGCTTCTTTCGTAAGTTTGAGATTTTGATACAAAGTTTGATCAAAGATTGTATAAGGGTTGGGTCCAACTCGACATTTCAATTTGGTGACTCAAATGATTCAAGTAGGAATCCAAAGGTTGGGTCGGGTCGTTGTTTATTTTTTAAAAATTATGTTTATTAAATATTAATTAACAACAAAATATCTTAAACTCAAATACCAAATATTCAAAATTCATGACACATCACTAACCTATATAGAATATTCTAACATTTGAATTTTAAAAATAGGATAAGACTAAGTTGTTCACCAGACTCAAAAAAACAAAATTATTAAATTCCATAAATGATCAAATTATTTAAATAATTGTTTATATTAAAACGACAAATTATAAATAATAAAAAAGCATTTATCGATTAGATATGTCTTTTAATAATATTTTCCAATGTTTACTTCATTTGTCACAATCAACAAATATATAATATTTATGTCGGAATAACCATTAATATGGGAAGATAAGAGTATATATTTTTAACATATTGATTAAAAAAATATAATAAATTACTGTATTTTGAGCCATCAATTTTTAAAATAAAAAAAAATGATATTTTGTCGATTAAATTATATTTGAATTGGATATATGATGTAAAGTTAAGTAAATTTGACTTTCAAATTAATATTTGAATAATAAAATACAAATCGAAGGGATTTTTGTCCTCACGCGCGATAGCGAGCGTGTAGCCACGTTTATTATCCATCTCCTCTTTGGCAAAGCTGCACTTTTCCATAAAAAAATAAAATTAAAAAAAAAACAGGGAGAGAATCTCCTAAATAAGGCTACCGTACCACAGCCGTTCCCGGCACTTACTCAAGGTCCAATTATATTATGCCACCTGTCGCGACAAAACTACCGATTGATCGGCGACGTTCGTGGATTTGTCGAGTGTCACAGTCTCATCATACTCATGAGCTCATATGGCAAGTTGCTAACTACTTTGTTCTTAATCTTATTGTTCTTTTTTTTTTAATGTTGCTTGAAAAAATAAACAAACACTTAAATAATAATTTTGAATCGTTTTTTAAAAGTAAAATCAACTTTAAAAATAAAAAATATTTTTTAAATAAAATTCAAACATTCAAACTTTAAGAATTATTTGGTTAGGAGAATCCATTTTTTAAAACATATACATATATTTTATGATTGAGAACGTTTAATTGAACCAATCTCAAGAGACTTCAATGGGAACTCCATAGACCCGAAAATAGATCGAGAACGTTTACGCTCCATTTTCTCCAAATCGTTTTGTAAATACCGAAAAAATCGAGAACCAACTTAACCCAACAAAAACATAAATACAAGAGTTTAGTTAAGGTTAGTCGTATTAGTCTAAAAAATGTCCATAACTAAACTCGACCTAAATCCTCTATATATATATATATTACAACAACCATTATTAATTCCATAATTGAGTAAAATATGAATTTATATTATTTATAAATTACTGGATGAATCAATTTTACATGCATGACAGATGTAAACAAATAACGTTAAAACAATACAGTTGAAAAAAGTCAGAAAAAAAAAATTCAAACAGGATAAGAATGAAAAAAAAATCTATTTAACGAAAAAATTAAAAAAATAAAATATTTTTTTAACAATAAAACAAATATTCAAAATATACTAAAAATAACCGGTAATAATTTAAAAAATATAAAAATAGTTAAGTAATTATTAATTTAGTTCCTAATTAATATCTTAAAAGGATCCATTTTACCCAAAATAGATTAAATATTATCAATCAAATACTTTGAAAA